TCAACTCACTATCAAAGCAGGTAAAAGATCTTTTTAACACTAGCGAAGCGTCGATTAGATGTATCATTGCTCGTTTGTTTTTTGGAGATAAAAATTAATGTAATAATAACAAACATTTATTTCAGACTTTAAATTCATAGAAGTGTTAGTTATTAACATGTGCGTAATTCGTTATTCTGTTATTTATCATAAGGACCTCATTTATAAAACTGTATATAAGAGATCTTTTTCTACATTAGACAGTGCGAATAGTTTCTTTATTCTTTTAAGTTATGTCTAGATGTGAGGACCTGTAATTGGCTCTTTGTCGCTACTATTCATTTCTAGTATATTATGATAAGCTGTTGGTCTTCCATGTAACCAAAATAAATAAATAAATAAAAATAAATAAATAAATAATTCAACGGGCGTATGGATGTACGGGCCATTTTTTATCGAAATTCAATATCTTTTATTCAGTCTAGGCTGTTACAAGCACTTTCAATTTTTAATTGAAGGCAACATGTTGAAGCATAAACCGTAAGTAACCTAACCATTGTCTGTTTATTATAATTTTTATTTTAAGCTAGAGGTTTGAATCTGAAGAAAATTTTACTGGACAAACATTTGTTTACAGTCTATGGTTAGTTGACCCGTTGCATTATAAATTTATTATTATTAGATAAATTTATAAGGTTACGAGATTCGAAAGCCAGATAAAAGAGAGATTTTCAGCTTCATATGTACGAGAAAAAAAAGCTATGGTTGGCAACCCTGACCAGAACCCAACACCTCCAGTGACAGAGCTCACGTACTCGGCCACTGTGGTAATCATGCTTCTTTTGTGCTTTATGGCATTTATTGTTGATTCTTGTAAATAGCCATTTCAAGCAACAACACTCTTGAGAGTTCCACTATTGTAAGAGGTACCGTGTACAGTGTAAGCGAAGCTGAAGCTATAATAAATAAATATTTCTAACATTCACACCAAATAGCTTAATTCCAAAAAAAAGCTCGATGGAGTAGGTGGTCAGCGCGTTCGGCTGCGATCGTTGAAGTTAAGCAACTTTCGCAGTGGTCGGTCATTGGATGGGTGACCAAAAATCCTCTATCTCGAGTTCCTCCGTGCTTCGGAAGGCACGTTAAGTCGTTAGCACACGCCAATCTGCACTGGGCTCGCTTGTTGGGTCATGGCCCAATCTCCCTATTCCATCCATAGGGAAGGCCTGTGCCCCAGCAGTGGGGTTATTAATAGGCTGGTGATGACATGATGACGACATTTTTTGCTGGTGACGTGTTTCCGTTTGTGAGTAATGTATCCAGAGATCCAAAAGGCAGAAGTTGGGCTTATAACATGAAATTAAACTTCCTTATTAACAAAAGAGGCAAAAATTTTACATTATTTACGCCGCCGCCGTCTTCTTTTCATATCGCTCAAGTAGCATTTGTGTTAAGAATCTGACTTTTTGTATACTAGATGGCAAGAATAGTCTATTGAATCGCGCTATCGTTTAGTTTTTATGAAAACATAGGTATTTTATGTGGAAGCAACAAATGTTCTCTCTCTATTTGAAATTGGATTGGAACAGGTGTTTAATTGATTTAGTTAGATACATCTCCTTTTTGAGACACTGTAAAAACAATTTGTAATAAAATGAGCATTGAAAAAACATGGAATAACCAATCCAAACTTATTTTTCGCCCATTAATAAGGGGTTAACATAATATTTCTTTAGTTAAATTTTTATTGAAGTGAAACTTCTTTATCGCCGTTGGAAAAAAATTTACCGTCACATTTTTCGGTTACGCGTCACATTTTTCCGTTACGCGCCATCTTTTTTTTATATTAATAGTTGATAGCTGAATGATCACACTGTCGCCGGCGAGAACTCTCTCTACTCGTTTGTAGCTGAGTGACAATAGTTATTAAAGATAAGACTCGCTCAGCCAAACTCGCATAGCGATACTCGCTCAGCGGTACTCGCTCAGCGATACTCGCTCAGCGGTACTCGCTCAGCGATACTCGCTCAGCGATTCTCGCTCAGCGATTCTCGCTCAGCGATACTAGCTCAGCGATACTCACTCAGCTATACTCGCTCGGTTAAGCTGGCTTGGCTGTCAAAAGCCGTGCGCGTGCATTTTAACTCAGGACTGCCAATTCGTTTCTAGTTTCTACTCGCTTATCGTTCATCGTCGGAGGTGGAACATGTGCCTTAGATTACTGAGCCGTGTAATCATAACAGTTTCATAGGCAGTAATTTGTATTCATGTCTATGATAATAAAATCCTTTTGTTTAACTTTATCTAATTTAACTTTATTTAACCAATTTCTGGAAAGTTGCATGTAGATCATTTTTCGAAAAATAAGGCCATAAAGAAGTTTCACTTCTTACGTGTGTACACTAGTACACGCACACATTTTTTTTAAGCATTCAATTGCTACATGTATTAATATAAAGAATGCAATATCTTCGCTTACCGCTCGCACAGGAAGCTCGGCATGCGAGACCCTTTTTTTGCATCTCCTTGTGTTATTTCAATGTAACAACTTCCGCTGTCATGTCTGACGGTATAGTTAAAGATGTTTATGCATACAGCCTCATTTGTGCTTCTTTCATTCATTTATTGTGTGGTAACAATGCGCGACAACTGACCAGACTCTCCTTTGGAGGATTGTGAAAACATTGTTAAAGCATTCCTGTGAAAAAAGTTAAGGCTCAATATTGATAAATGTGACTTCGTTAATTAACAGGCATTTGCCAGTCTTTTTTTCATTATATATGGCTTTATCATTTTTTCGATTTTAGTAGGTCACACTTATCTCCTAGCGTGGGCAGTCCTGCGCACGTCCTCCGTGCTTCGGAAAGCATGTTAAGACGTCATGGCCCAATCTAACTATTCCAACCATAGGAAAGGCCTGTGCCCAAGCAGTGAGGACATTAATAGGCTGTGACCCCCAGTTCACAACACCAGCCAATAGATATAATAAAGTTACCTCGAAGTAGTTATGAATTATATACGAAACACCGTTATTTATACCGAAATTATCAATTGAAAGGCGTCACCGATCCGTATTCAAACCGAGCGAACGAGGAACAGAACTACCTTACAAAATTAATAAATAAAATTTACGACCGATCTACCTACATAAGACTTATACCGAACACAAAATCTTATTAGTAGTGCTATAATTTCATGCAAAATAGCTTGCTGACCAACACACGATATGGTCCAAATATCTATCTACGCTATCTGACAAATTTCTTGAAAAGTTAAGCCTCTATGACACTGTGAGTTGCAAGTAGGGTTACCAGATGAATAAATCCGGAGAAAATGCCCGATTTTGATCAAAAATCCTGTGGCTTTGACCCTTTATCTAAGAAACGCGCCGAGGTATTGAGTTAAAATTTAAATCATATAATACTTAAGTCTACGGTCCCTTGAAACTGTGAAAAAATCAAACTTGTAAGTTGTTATGTAAAAAAAGATACGTCTGTTGATATTGCGTACCTAAAAACTGAAAAACTGAAAGGAACTGTATGTTATTGAACATTCTATGAATCCTGAGATTTCCTTAGATTTTCAAAATCTGGACACAATCCTGAGAAGAGTCTAAAAATCCGGAGATCTGATAAGCCTAGTTACAAACTGCTAGTGAATTAGCTGGGTTGTAGCTCGTAACTCGCTCCGTGTCATCAAAACTTTAAGAATCCATGTCATTCTATATTGTTGCATTGTTTGTCGAAGGTCGATGATATTGTATAGCGAAAGACGAAGAAGTTACACAATTAGGTTTTTTCAATACTAACCATTTATTGTAACATTATAAATATGTATTTCTATAATTTATCAGTTGCCCTAGTTTGCCATAACAGCCTTACAGTGCTTATTTTGGGATTATTTATGTCATTGACATCAAGAAGCGCCTAATACCTACTTGTTATTGCAAACTGAAAAAAATATGGTATTCGGCGACCTCCGTTGGCGAGTGGTTTGTACGCCGGGTTTCATGGTGTCGCCAACTCGAGAGGTCCCGGTTTCAAATCCCGGTGGGGGCAGATGTATGTGTGATGAACACGAGCATTTGAACTCCAGTCATGGATGTTTAATATGTATTTCTATATAAATATACTTATATGTTCAGTATATGTATTCTATCCATTACCCTAGTATCCCATAACACAAGCCTTATAGTGCTTACTTTGGCGCTAGGCTAATTGGTGTGAGTGTTGGAAATATTTATATTTATTTTATATCTTGAGAGTAAGAATAAATTTTTTACTAACTTGATTCATAAGCCTAAACTCTAGTTATAAATAAATAAAAAAAAAATAGCGCCTTTGAGAAAAATAAGAGCAAAAGTGCATAAATTCAAATTTGCTTTTACTAATGGAAAGGCATTACAAAGTAGACCATTTTTCACCAAACAGTGCGGCACAAGTTTATGGCTAGATATTGTTATCAAACAAAATTTAAAAAATCAAAAAACCCGACTGCTTAAGTAGTACTTCATATAAAAACCGAAAAGAAAAAAAAAACAAGTCCAGTAGTCTATAATTCTGTTAATTAAAAGGAAAAAAACGCAATAAAATTTCTGATTTCTGATTTCAAAGCTACCATAACAGTCGGGATTCATTATTGAAAAAAAATGATCCATTCTTAAAATATCTAATGGGTCCCGGCTGTTAAAGTAGCTTTGTTCCCTACCTTATTTCCTTAAATACAAGTACTAGCTGTGCCCCGTGGAATTACCCACGGTTTATTAGGGATGTCTTCCTGCAGTAAAACGTAGCCTATGTGTTAATCCAGGGTGTCAGCTAACTCCATACCAAATTTTATTAAAATCGCTCCAGCCGTTTAGACGTGAAGAAGTAACAATCATACACACTCACACATTCACAAACTTTCGCTGTTATAATATAAGTGTGATTGTGCTACCGGCATACCCTGAAGCTGTAAATCGTCTCCCAAGTCTACAAGATGATAGTCGCCTATGGCATTCAACTACATACAACACTGTTTCTACAATAGGGATGATGACTATTTTTTTTTCTTCGTTTATCAGGTAGATTATCAAAAAGTATTGGACACGTATTTTTTCTTTTTTCACATAATATAAACATTGCAGAGATTTATTGATTTGAAAAGTCGCATGACGTCACGTTTCAGTACACTTATAAGTGAAAATTCACTCAAAAGTGACGTCACGAGCCCCTACTCCCAAGTTTTGACGCGCTATAACTTTGTCATTTTTTGGTTGATTGCCCAAAGAAAAAATACGTGTCCATTATTTTTTGATCATCTAACTAACGTACTAAATAGAATTTCGTTTACTGTACCCCGTCATCACCCCTATTAAGATGAAAATGATTTTGTATTGATACCGATCAGTATAATATTTTGTAAATATTGTAATGTTGTTGGTACATATAATAATAATTTTACTCCACAGCTACAAAAAAATATCCTATACTGGGGGCAGGGAAGACAATATGGACGATTCAAGAGTTGTACTTTGTTTCCAATTTGATTAAAGAATTTTAGAATTTTGACTTAGTATAACTAGACCAAACTACCAAAAAATTGATTTTCTTTTCTTAGAAACAGAAATAAAACCACATCATTCTGTGCATAATACTATTTCAGAATATCGTCGCCATCATCCATTACCGCCAGTTCATCAGTTGTAACAATTTTCGCCACAGAAAGAGATTCAGTTGTAGTACCCAACGTTTCGACTGTGCTTTCAGGTATAAGTTTGTTAAGATCATCCATCATCTTTTGTTTAACCATCTGTGATTTCATTTCGTCATCCAGCATTTTAGTATCATTCAAATAAGTTTCAACTTCTAAATCTGGAGATAGTTCCCTTTTATCATCAAACTTCTTGGATGATGGAGTTGTATCTACTGGTTTATTGGCTGTGATATTTAGAATGTTTAGTTCAGTAGTGGGACTTTGACGCGTTGTAGTAGAGTTAGAACTGTTGGAACTACGAAGTTTCAGTTCGACTCTGTCTATAAAACGAGTGGTGCGTACAGTTGTAGGACTTTTCGGTATGACCTCGTTCAGTTCCGTATCTTTATCTTTTGCATCTTTGTCTTTATCGTCACTTCTGAAAACAGGTTTCGGTTCAGTGTTTGCAGTTGTTTGCGTTGTGGTAGTTCTTTTTCTCGCGTGTGTTGGCTTTTTGTGACTTACTTTGACTGTTGTTAAAAGTTTCTTGTCAGTTGTAGTTTTTGCTTTTGTAGTTGTACTTTTAGCAGTAGTCGTACTACTAGTAGTAGTTGTTTTAGGAGTAGTAGTTCTAGTTGTTTCATCTTCTATATTAGGTAAAGTTGTGGTTCCTTCCCAAAAATCTAGTATATCGTAACGAGTTGTGTCTAAAGGTGTGGTAGTAGTTTTGATGCTTTTCTCAATGTGCTCCTTGACTTCCTTTAATTCTATCTCTAGTTCTTTCAGTTTTCTTATGAAATCAGTATTATTATCGTTTGCGTTGCTCACAATTGTCGTTGGATTCATTGTCATAGCAGTTAGAGTGTCGTTGTCGTTACTTTTTCTCACTGGTTTTCTCTTATAGCTACGATTTCGCTCTTTCCTGCTGTCAAAAGCTTCTATATTTAAACCTTCATCAGATTCATCGATTGCTTTAATAATAGGATCGATCTTCCTCGATCTGTGTGCATGTTTTCTTTTATTGTACGATTTGGTGGTGGATTTCATAACTGGTGATTTTTTGATGGTCTCAAATCTGCGGTATTAGAAAATTTACAGTTAGTGATGGGCAATGAAAATAGCTTCATAGTGTCGTGTTCTTGTATAAGAGCAATAAGCATATTTTAAGTGTGAGTGAAGTATAGTTAGGTGATTCACCCTCAAGTTAGGAGTTGGAAATCAATGGTCCACCCGCTTTGCATTCTGAAATCCCTACTCGCTTTAATAATTGTATTGGATTTAAGTAAATTTCTAGGTTTAGGAATATAATCGGGAAGTTCTTGAAGTACGTCGTAATGCATGACCATGGAGCACCCCCACTGCATAACAAATTGTAAATTCCTTTTGTAAGTATTTAGCAATTCTGTTTATTTGAATTTTGAATTGCGCAGGTTATAGAGTTCGATGGCGCAGGTGTTTAACGCGTTCGGCCTACGATCGTGGAAGTTAAGCAACTTTCGCAATAGTCGGTCATTGGACGGTTGACCAAAAATCTTCTATCTAGAGTTCCTCCGTGCTTCGGAAGGCATATTAAGCCGTTGGTCCCGGCTGCATCTGCAGTCGTTAGCACCCGCCAATCCGCACTGGGAATTGTGGGTTGTGGTCATAGCCCAATCTCCCTATTCCATCCATAGGGAGGGCCTGTGCCCCAGCAGTGGGTACATTAATAGGCTGATGATGATGATTGTTGCTAAATTACTCATTAAGAGTTTTGCTTGCTCGCTTAATATGTACAGTTTCCTGAGAGGATAATTACAGTTAAGTTAAATTATTCCAATTCTTACCTCATTCTTTTCACCGCTCTATGATCAATTATGTCTTTCTTCAAGTTCAGACTTTCTACGTTTATTGTGTAATTGCTGTTCCAGAAAATTCTCTTATTAGGTTTCAATTTTCTATCCGTTCGGAGTGCAGTTACATGTTTGTAATCCGCCGTGCTTCTATGAGGCACTCGTTTGTATTTCTCTAGCGTCTTCTTCGATTTTTTGTGATTACGTTGATGAGGTCTCGAGACGCTTATCGCTTCTGGATAGAGAGTTATGAACGTAAATTTTGGTTCTCTAACGTTTCTTTCTCTATCTGCATCAACGATTCCCGTTAAAGGCTTAATGGTTCTTAATCTCTTTGCCTTCTTCTTTGTTACTTCCTTATGAATTTCCTTAACAGTAAATTCTTTTGTATGTGGTTTTTCAATTTTGAGTTTCTTTACCTTTTTCTTATTAACTTTCTTATTAGTTTGCCGTATAAGGGTCTCGAAGTCGTCACTGTTTACCAATTCTTTTTTATCTGGTTTTTCTTTACGGTTTCTTTTTACCTTCTGCTTGTCAACCTTTTTTGGAATTGGTTTTATAAAGCTTTTTAAATGTTCGTTGTAAATATTCGTCGTTTTAATTGTTAATTGTGGCTGGTTATTCGGTCGCGTTTGGGTTTCGAATCTCCAAACATCCCCATATTTTACATTGTTGACATCTTCCCAAAACGTTTCCAATTTTATTTTCAAACCTCTCCTTGTGTTCGAATCCAGTTTACTGTAGTGATCGAAAACTATAGAACGCAGACCCTTTCTGATGATTTTGACTAAATCTAAGTTAGACCGTTTACTCTTTTGTTTGTATACAGCTATGTGCTTCAGGAAATCGTTGAATTTCTCCGAATCCTTTTCACTGTACAATGAATTTAAATATGTACTTATCAACATGTGTTTGAATCCGTCTTTGGAGTCTGTCAACTTTTTTATTGTTGTCGTCAGCTGACGTTTTAGCTCCTTACCAGGTACATTTCTGATTTTATCCAATTTGTCCGCCATGAATCGTCTGACGTCCCCGTTTTCTATTAATTCGTAGAATTTGCAACCTTTGTAGTGGTATTTCCTTAGTTCTTCATCAACGACTGCTGCTACTTCTTCTAGATCTTCGTCGTTATAAGAACTGAGTATGACAAGGGCGCTTTTCACAAAATCAGTGAAAGTCAGTGGTGTATTATCATCAATGACGGCTGTCCTTCTAGAATCTCTGTTGTTCCTAATGACGCGTTTGACTCGTTTCAAAAAGTCTTGGACTTTGTCAATGATTTCGATGTCGGCTGAATTTTCATTGTTATCGAATTGCAGAACTGTTTCCAGGGCCAAATTCACACTTCTCTGTGGTGTCTCCAATTCTTTACAATCTGTGAAAAATATGAGCAGTTATATAGATTAAGTTTATACGAGGTGTTTTAAACTTGAATCCTCAAGAAATCTTTAGTCTCAATCAAATAAACTCCAAATCTAATTCTGCCATTCTTACTTCACCTTCATCTCTTGTCTGAGGTGATACTCGATCGTGCGTTCAGCGTACTGAGAAAGTGTGGGCTCGTGGCACTGACAAGTGTGGACTGGCCGCCTGCCCGGCGCGTAATGAAGATAAATTAGAATAACTTTTGATCATATAGGTTTTTTTTACTATGTCCCACTTTCGACGAAAGAATCCCACTTTTTTCACTCAAAAAGTCCCTGAATCCCGACTCGGCAAATATCTGGCAATGCTGGTTAGAGTACACCAAATGCCTGGTATAGCTAAAAATTGCTTGTTTAATTAAAATCCGTCCGTTATTGAAGTGAAATTTCTTTGCGCGCGATAACTTTTTAAGTCCGCGTCACGATTTGAGCGTCAGATTTTAGTGCGACGATTTTAAATTTTAAAGGACGGATAGACGAAAAGAACAACAGATAAAAAGAATAAACACGCTGTATACGTATATATATATATTTTTTAAGTGAAAACTTCTTTTGCGGCGTTGTACACTTTTTTTGTATGGGTAAAAAATGTTAAACTCAAGTCAGGTTAAAACACGTGGGCTGATCGCATCATGACACGCAATAAAATTGGAAAGGTTGTTGACTTTCAATATATTGGACGAAACATAGTAATATTTTATTTTACCGTATTATAATAAAAAGTCTATCTAGGACGTCCACGTGGTAGTTTTATTGCGAAGATAATGCATTTTTTTACAATAGATGTCGCTAGGTGCGCTTAAATGTAATTCATGTAAGTTGATTTCTTTATAATAATTGGCGCTGAGTGCGCTTAAACGTGATTCATGTAATATGATTTTTCTGAGAGATAAACTTTTTTAATGTAATATAAATTGTCATGTTTGTGTACGATAACGCAATAAATAAATATAGTATTCTACCACATACATGATAGTACTTTTATACTGATAAAATTAAAGCTATTCGTGCAAAATTATTCCCTAACCATTCCAAAATATCAAAAATACGCAACGTTAATATTCAAGTTTTTACTTCTGCCGGCATTCCCAGCGTGCACCCCACGTTTTTTTTTATTTTAAGGACTTTTGTGCCCTCCTTACACAATAACAAAAACACATATTATAAATAAAACAAACGATTGATTGATTTAGACACGTTAAGCCGTTGGTCCCGGTTGCATCTGCAGTCGTTAGCACCCACCAATACGCACTGGGCCCGCGTGGTGGGTTATGGCCCAATCTCCCTATTCCATCCATAGGGAAGGCCTGTGCCCCAGCAGTGGGGACATTAATAGGCTGATGATGATGATGATGGATTGATCCAAACTTTTGTTACCGTTTGCGTACAGCACAGCAATAAACACCAGAACGACGTTTCGTAAGAGAAGCGAATGCATTTTAATGTAGAAAATATAAAATATAAAAACTAAGCGATAAAGGAAAACCTTAAATAAAACAATGCGAGTCCTACCAAAACAGTTTCATAATGTTAAAATTGTATTGTTTTGTCGCGTACTTCAGTTGGACCACTTGTTTTGCACAGAGAAGTTGGTAACATTTTATAATTTACTCATTAATTTGAGAATCTCGATGCTGCAAGTTGTTCTGCGGTCTGCGATTAGACCGGGAGATGATGACACAAAATACTTGGTCATTTGTACCAGTATGGCGGTTCTTCAGGGGTCTAATTACGTAAAGGCAAAAAGGAAAATGATGGTCATAGCGCTCGCACCGGCGGCCCAATCGCGTGGGCGTTAATCGAACGCGTCGGATAAATAACGAGTGTCGAACGATTTGTTCCACAAAAATGCTTATATTTTCAGATAGTCGAAAAAAAGAAGTAGGCGGTAGCGTAATGCCATACTTCTCGGGTGTGACTTACAGCCCGCCATACCGACGCGAATACATTAATTTAAATAAAACAATTCAACCATTTGTACCAGGCTAATTTTTGCACAGCTAATCATCGTCGAGTAGCCATTCACGAAAATCACCTTGCCATACTTTTCCGACAGTTCCCAATGGCCGCCATACCGCTGCAAAGGAGTAATTTTTTTTTTTCGCCAAACGATTTGTACCACCCTGAAACTTTTTTTAACAGTTCCCCGTATGATCATAAATAGAAGTCTGATAATGCCATACCTGTGGGAGGTGGCGAATGTGAACAATATTTTTTCAAAGTCCCAAGATTTTATTCGTAATTCGAACGATTTGTACCAGTATGGCGCCACTTTTTCCCTCTACTACAAGTATGGCAAATATAATAATGGTCACATTGTATCGTATAATTTCCAAAAATCCAAATGCCATACTGGTACAAATCGTCATTTTTTTTTCTTTTTCACCTTTTAGCTCAAGTCCGACAGTCATCCGCCCCATGTTTACAATCTGTAATACATTTTTTTACGTAAAATTGCATCCAAATGACGAGAATACAATGATGTCATGATGTAAAAAATGATTTTACGTATTTTGCAGTCGTATTTTTAAAACGTGTCAAATAAATAAGTATTTCAAGTATGGCAGCACTTTTTCCCCGTACTAGAAGTATGGGAAAAATAATAACGGTCACATTTTGCCAAATACATTCCAAAAATTCAAATGCAATACTGGTACAAATCGTTTGGCGAAAAAAAAAATTACTCCTTTGCAGCGGTATGGCGGCCATTGGGAACTGTCGGAAAAGTATGGCAAGGTGATTTTCGTGAATGGCTACTCGACGATGATTAGCTGTGCAAAAATTAGCCTGGTACAAATGGTTGAATTGTTTTATTTAAATTAATGTATTCGCGTCGGTATGGCGGGCTGTAAGTCACACCCGAGAAGTATGGCATTACGCTACCGCCTACTTCTTTTTTTCGACTATCTGAAAATATAAGCATTTTTGTGGAACAAATCGTTCGACACTCGTTATTTATCCGACGCGTTCGATTAACGCCCACGCGATTGGGCCGCCGGTGCGAGCGCTATGACCATCATTTTCCTTTTTGCCTTTACGTAATTAGACCCCTGAAGAACCGCCATACTGGTACAAATGACCAAGTATTTTGTGTCATCATCTCCCGGTCTAGATGTGGAAGTTAAGCAACTTTCGCAATATAATAATACCTACCTACTTTATTTAAGAAAAATAGATCACATTACATTCAAATAAAAAAAATCTATACTAATAAATTTATGTGTAATAATGAAATGAAATGAAAAGTCATTTATTCAGTCTAGGCTGTTACAAGCACTTGTGAAGGTCAAGAAGCTACGCCATCGGTTCGCAAAACTACGGCGGGAGACCTTGTACTGAGAAGAACCGACAAGAAATTCAGCAAGGGCTGCTTTTTTCTCCCTGTTTTGATATATATACAGAGTCATCAAGTTGAAAAATGACTTATGAGATACTTCTCAAGTCACCTTCCATTACATCCAATTAGGATATAGATATATAGTTGCAATAATTTTTATATTTAGTATTTAGGAAGCGGCATTAGCTAGGTACCATATTACTGTTACAATAACTGACTAATTCCCATCAAATAACAAATTACAAGAAACACTATGTCCATGCATTACGATCATTAAGATAATCATTAACTTTATAATAATCAAGTTTGCAATGGTCGGTCATCTGATGGGTGACCGAAAATTTATCATCTCGAGCTTCTTGCTTGCTTAAAAAGGCAAGCTAAGCTGGTCTACGTTAACGACAATGAACTTTAAAATATACCTTGATTTTCAGAATCCCAATATGAATTTTACAAAACAATTAAGAAAGAATCATTTCGTACCCTTATTACTCCATTCCTGAATGAAGTGGACGTCCAGACTAAGAAATATGACATAATGGATAAACTGAAGACTGTAGAAGCAGACCCTCTTTATGACTACAAGGATATGTGGTGGAAGACAATGAGAAGAATTCCAAGTACCAAACCCGCAGTAATCAAAAATAAAGACAATAAAGCAATTACAAAAGAAACTTTTGCAATTAAAACTAAAACTGGTTTTATAAAACGTATTACTGATATTCCAAGAGGTAATATAGGAGTTAAAACGAAAGCAACAAAAGCATATAGACCTTACGATACGACAAGAAAGAGCCAACAAGAAGCTCTAATGACTAAAAACATTTATTTGCTAAGAGACGTTAAACCTATGAACGCAGTTGATGTAAGCGCCTTAAGACATAGTTCAGTCGGCAATACTACTAAACACAATATTTTTATTGAAGATTATGTATACAGTGATTTTTTGTTTAAACGAAATTTGACTAATAAAGATCCCCTTAAGGATATACTGCTGACGAATGACAGTAAAGTCATAAGTGACATACAGGCGGAAGATGTTACCAATTTGATAAACATTTACAATGGTAGCAAGAACGTCATGGAAAATATAGCCGGTGTTAACGCAACCAACTTATTGCACTATTATAATTTTACAGCGCAGCAGTTTGGAGATAGTAAGTTTTTTTTAGAAACTACAAAAAAACATTTACAGAACTCGTGCTCTACACGACTTGAAAGGGAATTGAAAATGAATGTACCTATTACAGATTATTAAAAAATTTTATATATATTTTTTATTTTTTAAGCATGTAACTGCTTGATGTTTAAATCTAAAAAAAATTTAAATAGAAACAAATCCACGCGGACCAGGCAGCAGACTGAAATACAAGCAGTTACATGCTTAAAAAATAAAAATTATAACTATAATTGCTATTTCATCTTTCAAATGTTTAATACTTGTAAAAGTATTCATTTGACATTGTGGGTTACCTACAATGCGAAGAGATGGCGCTGCCTTGCAGCTTAAGAATGGCTAGAAGAATTTCGACGCGGGCGTTAGGCCCGCTGTAGCATAAATAAATAAATATATAAATAAATATTTCCGACACTCACACCAATTAGCCTAGCCCCAAAGTAAGCACTGTAAGGCTTGTGTTATGGGATGCTAGGGTAACGGATAGAATACATATACTGTACATATATAAGTATATTTATATAGAAATACATATTAAACATCCATGACTGGAGTACAAATGCTCGTATTCATCACACAAACATCTGCCCCCACCGGGATTCGAACCCGGGACCTCTCGAGTCGGCGACACCATGAAACCCGGCGTACAAACCACTCGACCACGGAGGTCGTCGAATATAATGAAAAAATGGGTGCGTGTACTTATGTAGGCGCGTGAGAAGTTATCCTTCTTTGGCATCGTTTAAAATTAGTTTTTAATTGCATGCAAATAATTAATTACAATAAATTAATAAAAAGTCTGGAAAAGGACACAGTCAATAAAGTTCAGTTTTAATTTGAAAAAATAAATAAATAATTAAAAAAATATTCAATTAAAATCGCTACTGAATATAATTTATTAGAACATATGTGATTTGCACTTGTATGAAACTCAAACACGTATTCCGAATATACAAACTAGAAACATGTGGACAAATATTATAAATATGAATACCTATAACTGTTACTTTATTACAAAAAATAAAGATGTGGTTTTTGGTTCTACTACACCAATGGTCAAGAGATGGCGCTGTAGTCTCCTGAATCGCGCTTTGGTTCCGTTGTTCCAGATTAATAAATACTTTTGATAGGCCTTCACAATGCAGTCGTTAGCACCCACTAAATAAAGATTCTATTTCTATTTTGTTGGTAGATTTTCTTAATGTGCGGTAAACACAAAAGTAACGCATGAAGTTGGTCGCTCAAGCGACCAACTTCATGCTGTTAAAATTTTGTGTTACAGTGATGCGCGCGCATCTTAAAATTTCACTCTCATCATTTTTTCATAACGCGCCTAAAGAAGTATAACTTCAATAATTGGTCAGTGCATTCGCCCGGATAGCGAAGGGTACGGGTTCGAGTCCCGTCTGCTGCCTGGCCCGCGTGGAATTTTTTCTAGTTATATTTTCTTTAGATTTTATATTTTTTTTTCAAAACCAAAAAAATGATTTCTTCAAAACCAATTTTTCCAAAATATTTTTACAACATTTCTTAAAGCCCTTCGAATTCCGCGTCTTTAGAGCTCTCATACCTCCTCAAAACTTGCGGCTAAGGGCACCTCTACAGCCTCAACCGTCACCAATATTGAAAAAAGTGTAATGACCTAAAATGTTCCTAGGTTCCATACCGAGGTGCTCTTTTTGCATATTTTTTAAGTTCTGCCCCGTCCTCGAGACATCAGACATTTTTTGTGACACACGATTGTTCCGTCGATAAAAGTCTTTTTTTTTCGATTGGCATTTTTTTTTGATTTTTCCTAAATATCTTTTGCAACTTCTTAAAGCCCTTCAAATTCCGCGTCTTTTGAGCCCTCATACGTCCTCGTGGCTCTGAACCTCGGGGTATCACGGGTGAGTCGCACTGTTAGCGAAAATGGGGGCCTACT